TGAAAACGAACCTGTGAGATATCTGACCCCTGAACATCTGTTAGCAGTTGTTCCACATGGCTGAGCTGCTGCRGTTTTGTCTGGTTTCACTCAAATTAGTTACGCTACTCTTTAACTAAATGACCACACAGGAACAACGATTTAACATGATAGAAGGTAGTATAGTAAGAATTATGATATAAGCTAATATCTTACCTGTTACAGATGGCTACTTGAATTTGGAGAATTTACATTTCACACATGGAAAAATTTGTCTGGCTCACACAATTGCACCAACAGTCGACCCAGATACCGCAAAGAATGACGGCCCTTTGGTGGYCCAGATGTGGCTTGCCAGAGGACCAGTTGTGGCACTGGAAAACTTGGGCCACATRAACCAAACCACAACCAGGCCAGTTGTGGCCTGCCATCTTAAGGGATCCACGATTAGTTGTAACATTAAACTTTGTTTGATAAGGATTTATTTTAACTATAAAATAAAGACTGTAAAAATACTGTAGGCTGTTTAGTTTTGTAAATTTTTAAAAAATATATTTTAACACAGACGGAGCCATTTACACACAAAGCATTCTGGGTAAATGATGACATCAACTAGGTCATCGGTGCGAGGCTGCTAGGGAGCTATATCCACCCTGAAGGTTAATCTTGGACAATATCTGATGATCGACTCTTTWAAATGAAACCAGAGAGCGTTGACAGAGAGGAGAAGGTAGAAATGACTCAGCCTGKAACTGAAAATATGGATGGAGGACAACAGAGCTGCTTCATGGAAGAAGAACCTCAGCTTAGCCTGTTAGCCTTTGTGCTAGCCCTCATGCTAAATTGCCTTATATGTATTACCTTGACGCTAGCGCGACAAACAAGCTAAACTGAGGTCCTCCATCCATATTTTCAGTAACAGACTGAGTCATTTTTGCGTTCCCCTCTCTGTCATGTGGATGGAGGATCTCAGTGACGAGAGGAGAATGTGTAGCGCTGAGCTAATATATGGTGATAGCATCGGGGCTAACGCTAAAGCTAGCAGGCTAAGCTGAGGTTCTTCTTCCATGAAGCAGCTCTGTTGTCCTCCATCCATATTTTCAGTTACAGGCTGAGTCATTTCTACCTTCTCCTCTCTGTCAACGCTCTCTGGTTTCATTTAAAAGAGTCGATCATCAGATATTGTCCAAGATTAACCTTCAGGGTGGATATAGCTCGCTAGCAGCCACGCACCGATGACCTGGTTGATGCCACCATTTACCCAGAATGCTTTGCGTGTAAATAAAATGGCCCCATCCGTGTAATATATTTTTAAACTTTTAGTTTAAAAATTATAAAAACTAAACATCCTACAGTATTTTTACAGTCTTTATTTTACAGTTAAAGTATATGTCTATCATTTAAAGTATAATGTTACAACTAATCGGGGATCCCTTTAACAAAGTGTAATATGCAAATTGGTGTTCTAGAAGGATTTGGTGTTTGTTTTGTTTTTTGTTAATTGAAGATTAGTATTGTTTGAGTTCATACTTGGTGGTGGGGGGGGGGCAGATAACGTTTTTTCTTCTCTCTGCTGCCTTTCATTTCATTGTATTTATTTTTTTTATATTTGTACATAGAACTGATTTGTTTTAAAGAAATAAAGATTTTACATAAAAAATAAAAATAAAATAAATAAAAATTGTGCCATCATTGCCAGACCTGGCCCACATCAGGTTGACAAACCATTTGCCATGCCAGCAGTCAGCCAGCAATGCCAGCCTGACACCAGATCTGGCCCACACCTGTGTTATGTGGGTTGTTATCTAATCGTTCTGGTAAGAATTTGCCCACATAGAAGACAGGTGTGGACCAGATGTAGTGTCAAGCTGGCCCAGCTCTAGTTTGGTTTATGTGGCCAAATTCTTGTCAGTGCCATTATTGGCCCGGTTATGGTTTGGTTTCTTTGGTGCTTGCCCATGCATGGACCACCTCTGGCAAACTACATCTGGGCCAGTAAAGGGATATCATTCTTTGCAGTATCTGGGCCGAGTGCTAAGAGAGTTAGAGAAATGTGTGGGCCAGAAAAATGCAAGTACTCATATACCTTAAACAAGAACCAATAACAGGACAAGTTGAAGTAATTGAAATATCTGGATAAATTGTACTCCAGTTTTTTTTTTCCACTGGTCAAAAGCACGACCGTTACATGCAGGGCTGTTCATCTCGTGTGTCTCAGTGTAGACCCTGTAAGGGACATGTCCCCCCTCCACCACAAATAAGCCCTCATGCCCACAGACTGCTGAAGAATTGCACCATCCACACTGTACAGTGAATATTTGTATTCATTAACTGAATGACAGCCTTTGATAGTGAACTTCACAGAATGAGCCGATGAATGATGAGTTGTGTCCGTAGAACTAAAGCTCTATCATGAGTTAACATTATGTACTCTTATAAACGGGAAACTTCAGAAATTTAATTTGGCAGATTTCCATGATAGAAAGACATGAACAGTCAGGGGTGCCAGCAGGGGGGGCAGCCCCCCCCCCCCTTAAGGTTAGGTTAATTTGGCTTATTAAGGTTAGCTTAATTTGTTCCCTCCCAGTTTTATCCTTTTGAGTACCCAGGTTTTTCCTTTTTCAATTCCCCTAATTATTTAGGAATAATATAATCTCATCAATATAAAAATAACATTGTTTTCTAACAATTAATAGTTAAAAACATTAATTTATATTTTGCTTAAAATAAAAATAAACATATAAATCTAGTTACTCTGAATAAGGACAACCAGTCTAAAACCAATGTTCTCAAATGAAGATGGAGGTTCTCAGGAGGTTAWATTCATAGATATATTTTAATTAAATATATAGGTAATTAAATAATTTAACTAGTTATAAAATATAAATAAAATTAGCACAGTTGGTAGAGCAACATTTTGCCTCTAAAGAAGGAGGTTGCTAGATTAACTTTCTGGGTTTCGTTTACATGTTCTCCCTGTGCACAATGTGTGATTTGTGTGTTCATAAAAAACACTATGGGTGGTAGCTGTGGTCCAGCAGTTTGAAGTGCAGCTCAAACACCAACTGCTTCTACGAGTTTGATGCCTTGTAAGGAAGCTTTAGCTGCATTGTAGAGCTAGCAGTTGCTAATGTCTCAGGATGATGATGTCATAGCACGAGCCGAGCACCTACAGCAAATGCTGCGTTCCATTCCAAAATAYCTAAATGTGAACAACTTTGTTTYATTTTACGTAGTTTGGTTGTTTTGTACTTGAAATTCACCACATCGTTAAACGTAATAATCACATTCCAAAAAGATACAAGTTATAATCCATATTTTAGTTCAAACGAATGCTTATTTCTGCAATTTACTTTCAGTTCCTTTGGCCTGTTAGGTGACCTCACTTCAGTTTATGTAAAAAAACGATGAGATCAACTGACTTTTTGGTGCTGGAATTCACATTTCGATGACATGGTCACTGTGTGCGTCATTATCATTGGTAATCTCTTCTAAATATAACTCCTCTGGAATTGATTACGACTGTGGATTTTTCTAGGTTTAACAAACTTGGGAATAAAAACTGAATGTTCCCATTGGTCCACAAAAAAGGCAACTTCACTTATCAATATGTACCGTCTTGTATAAAAGCATCCCATGTACGGCTTACTGTAAATATTACAAAATGGCAACAATAAAGCTAAAGATTTATTTTTAACAAGTCTTTACGCATAAGAAATGTATTATTATATTGTTATTTAAAACAGTTTTATTCTCACGATAACCATGGTTATTTAACCATAGATTCAGAAAACAAACAGCTCCAGGCAGAAATTTAACTTTGACAACTACACCCTCTAGAGGCTGTGAGTGTTATTACATTCTTAAAAATTGGATATTTGTCTCACTAAAACTCCATTGGTAATTTTAATAAATTTTGTCTGTCAGTATGTTATTTTGTTCACTTAATATATAACATACCTGCAGTTTTTTTTAAACTTAAAACCCTAGGAATTAGTTTCAAGTGTGTATATATCATCTTCTATATTTAATATCTTTTTGTATATTTCAGTAAAGCAGATCCTGAATAAATGTGTGTTTTATTAAAGTAAACCAACCTTAAGGATTAGGAGACGTCCTAGTGGGTAAATTTGAGCGCTACAGGAGAAACTGTGGAAGAAAATAACTCCTAAACCATCCGAATAGGATGTTCATWTTTCAGTCTCCACACAAAGCCAGGGCTATGGCAAGCCAATTTATCATACATTGATTGAACAAGGTCTTCAAACGCATCCATCATTCTAAATAGTTTTACTCACTTTTGTTTTCCTGGTCGMAAGGAGCTGATGTTCATTTCCAGCAGCCGTTAGACGAGAAGCGGGGTTCTGTTGCCAAAAAAGTGAGAAAAAAATCCTCAATGAGACTTTAATTTGATAAAGTCTAAGAAACGTCAGTGTGTCATTGTTGCAAAGAGAAAAAATATTGTCATGTAATTAAAAACAAAGGAGTCAATAAATTAGTTAAAATTTCCCACATTATGGGTTGATAGATGAGGCCACGCCCACTCACTATGACCTGACTACAGAKAAGCAGCAGAAAAYGCATAAACAGACCTTTCAAATGTCCTTTATTGGACAAATGTCCAATGTAAAATGTCCTGTTTGACAGATTCACAATAAATATCAAATACCATTTTARATATTTATAATGTAGCCTAAAAATATTTTCAGTTCCTTTTTAAATCAAGACTTAAATTGACTCCACTTTTACAAAATTTGTAGAAATCAAATTTAGTTTTTTAGTGGTCTTACTGTTAAAGATGTTGAAATATAACTGTTCTAATAGGAATGTGAGTTTTAATTCGGACTAGTTAAAAAGCCGCTGATGTGTTTGATTATATATTACAACGGCCTGCCATACCARGGTTCCCACTAGTGTCGGTTTGCACTGCGTGCTGGTCGGCTGAAAGCTAACTGGGTGTTACCGGTTCTCCCGGTTCGAACCCGTGTGAACAAGTCAGGAACAAAGCCACTGTGACCATCAGCTGCTCACCCTCAGCAAACATGGACTTCTCCATCCGAGCCGCGAACGTGGAGGACTGCAAGGACATCGCACGGATGATAAGGGTGAGCCGCGACACGTGCGCACATTTGGCTCGAGCCCCAGGGTGACGTCACGAGGTCGCCATCAAAACACGATGTTGTTAGAATATAAATACCTGTGTTTTAATCAGAGGCCAGCTGTGCACAAAGTGAGTTAGGGAAGATTTCTGTGCAACAAACAGGCTTGTGTAAGCTGAAATAAATTAATTAATAAATCAATGGGTTTGTGATGAGATGATGATTCCTCTGTATTGACCCTGTTAGTCACTCAATAGTGACCCCTGCAGTAGTTAAAAAAACATTGCAGGTAAACAAAAATGTAAATAAGATGGAAAAGCTAACATGGTGCAAACCCAACATCAGCCTGTGAAATATTGAATCACCATTTCTTCACTTAAAATATGATCTCATCATTGTATAATTTCATTTGCTCAGTTTGTTTGAGTTAAGTTGTTCATGAGAAGAGGTTAAAACTTCCTTAAAACCTCGTTTGTGTAAACTGTTTGTCTAAACCGAACTGTAAAATACAGATTTGTCTAATAAAACTCAGAGTTAAARTTATTAGTATGTAATTTTGTTAAAGGCACAGTGTGTAGGATTTGTTGTTTTCAGCGACATCTAGTGGTTGAGTGGTTGAATCATCCTCCCTGGTCCTC